TGATTTTTAGAGCTAAAGAACGAACCCCAGGCGACTCCTAACAGTTTTCCACCATTCTTGAGGCTAAAGGTAAGCTTTTCACTCCCCGAATCCGTTTTTCGATTCGTAGAACGTAATAGAATGGACAATTAATGATGGGGGAGGTTTTTGATCTAGATTCTATGGTGGAAACAACCCTATTTTTGATACTTGGGATCATGGGTATGATCTAGGGTTGTTAGAATTGTTAGTAATCCGGGTAATTAGTGATTGTTTATTGATTCCCGTATTATATTGATTGTTTGTAGATTAAGAACAAGCGGAACGAATTCGGAAAAGGAAGGATCAAGTTTCTTAGGGTTTCAAGCTTGTTTCGAGGTAGGTGATGGTTGTGATTCTATGATTGTGTGATGTATGTTTATTCTTGCCTCATTATGATACATGTATATGAATGTTGCATTATTGATCATACTTATTGTAAATGAGATAGAAGAATGATGGTTACCATGAAATCATGACTTAGTTGTATGATCTTGAGGATATACTTGTGATTGTAATTGTGGTGTGTTGAATGGATCGGTTGCCACATTCCGGTATAACTAACTTGGATTGGTTGCCACGTTCCGACATAATTATGGGATCGGTTGCCACGTTCCGGCATAATCATTGGATCGGGTACCACGTTCCGGTATGCTAACTGTTTGGGTTTGGGTTCCATGAGAGGACCAATGACTTGTCATAATTGTGTATTTTGAGACATGTGAAGTTGTTCATTGTTCGTAAATGTGATGATATTGTATATGTTCGATATATGCATGTGATTATATTGTTGTTTGACTTATGCATGTTGCACTTAGTAGAATAACCGCGTGATCCTACCAGTACACTGACTTAAAATAAGTTGGGAAGTGTTTGACAAGGTAAAAAATGACTTAAAATAAGTCAAAAACCAAAAGTAGGTCTCCCCCTACTTTTTATTTTTTGACTTAAAAGTCATTTCAGTTTGACTTTTTATTTTTGACTTAAAAACTATTTTTTTAAGTCAATCCAAACGGGCTCTTAGTCCCTTCATTTTAATTTGTTTTGCTTTTTTTTTTTACTTGAGACGGAATTTTAGAAATTGAAAAAAAAAAATTGAATCTTATATTCTTAATTTAAATATATGTTAAACTTATCAAAATATTATAATATGAAACCTGACAAGTGAAAAGTTAAAATTAAATAATTATTAAAAATAAAAAAATATTTTTCTAAAATGAACTAAAAATATATAGTACTATCAAATAAATTGGAAAAGAGAAAATGGCCGAAATGGTCCTTGATGTATAGGGGTTAAAGTATTTTGATCCTTAATATATATCACCTTATTAAAATAGTCCTTGAAGTATATTAAAAGATGATATTTTGATCCATTTGCCCTAAAACTAACCATTAAGATAAAAATTGTTGTTAAATTTAACGGTGGATCCCACGATATTGACTCCTAGCAAGCCCTTCTCCCTCAAATCTTCTTTCTTATCCTAATTCTTCTTCACTGAAAAAAGAAAGTCCATTCTTCTTTCCATTAACAAAATCCGGCTCACAAATTAAAGTCTCTCTAAATTTCTAAATAACATTATTAAAATTCTATTTTGCTCAGTTACACTATCTTAAGAAAAAGTTAAGAGGACTAATAAATAGTAAGACAAAGAAATCACAACCATTTTATCAAGAACACTTTAACAAAATACACCGCCAAGACCCAAATTAGTGATTCTGCCAAGCATGTTCACTTACTAGTTTACCACTTAGCAGATCTGTAAGTCAAAAGTACAAAACAGAACTCTGAAGTGATCCTTCAATAAGAGACTATAGATTAAAGCTTGGAAAAAACTGATTTATGGCAATCTTCTGAGAGGAATTAATAAAGTGTTTTATTTGATTTATTTTGTTTGTATCTGTATCGATGGTCTCATCTTTTTTATATTATTTTTTGTATGTATGAAAGTGCAAACTATCGAAGTTGTTTCGTAGAGGTAGATAGAGATAAGAAGTGAGTGTAGTGTGAGTTATTTTTCTTGTAATAATATTCTCTAATGGTGGTGAATGAGAGAAGATTGAAGGAGAAGAGGACTGCCATGTGTCAATATTGTGGGACCCACTGTTAAATTTAACCACATTTTTTTTATCATAATGATTAGTTTTAGGGCAAAAGACCAAAATGATCATCTTTTATTATATTTTAAGTACTATTTTAATAAGATGATATATATGAATGATCAAAATGCTTCAACTCCTATACATTAAGGGCTATTTTGATCATTGGAAAATCCTTACATAAAACTATGAACAAAATTAATGTTAAAAAATAGACAAAAATTTAGAAGAGGACCAAAAATGCACCAATATTATCAACACGAGAAATTATTAGTGCTCCATGTGAAAATGAAGAACTATTTTGGGCTTTCTCTTTGATTTTCTACCTAATAATAAAAGCATAGAAAAATTTAATTGACAATTGATGGTTGGTGGGGAAATAGGATCTTAAATAATTGTACGGAAAACAGTGCATCAACTGCCAAAAAGCAAATCACACAGTTTCCCACATCTGATTAGCATAAAAATATTTCAATTATTTCTGTCCACATAACCTCTCATTGTACTATGAAAGTATTATTCTTTTCGCCAAATAATTTATTTGCCCTATTTTGATTTAATACAAAATAAATTAAATTAGAGTTTTCAACAAATTTCATTTCTGGGAAATTATGACAAGAGTGATAATTTTTTTCTTTAAGAATATGTGAAAATGTATGTGATAAACTTTTTTCTTTCTTTTTCATTCGCCCATTATACGACTTTCAAATTCAACTTGTGATGAATTTCGAGAGACAAAGTCAAAATGTAATGTCATTTGTCTTATATTTTGAGATGTCTTCTTCTGTTATACTAGTCCTACAACTCTTTTACTGAACGTTCGATATTCATAATGAAGTGTAACTAATCTGAATTCATGTATTGAAGGTAGGTAAGGAGGTTATGTAAATTACGAATTGAGTTGAATACGAAATTTTGGTCAAAGTTTTATATTTATTTCAAAAAATTTGTTAAAAATGTATAAATCATTTAAAACTTAGTAATTCAAAGTTTCCTATAATTGTTTTGTATTAAAATTAATTAGGCAACCTACGTTTCCTCTATATGTGTGCTCAAAGATCTCACTTGAATCCATTGGTTGACTTTACTATTGTTTTACTCCTTAATCGCAGTATATTATAATAATGATAATAATGGTGGATTAAGTGGATACTCTCAATCTACAATAATCTAATACTCTAATGTAGTAAATTTTAAATTATAGTATTGGACATAGACTAATTAGTGCTCCACACAAACCTAATTTTCTTAAATCTTTCTATTTATTAGTACTTCTTCTGGTTCATATTAAGTAAATTGTTAAAACTTTTTTATAATCTAAAATAAATAAATTGTTCAAAGTTCAACAAATTTATATATTTTCGAAGAAAGTTCACATAAAACATTAACAACTATGAAATAAAGAAGAACTCAAGACATCATTTGACATCAACAACGACTATAGTAATTGTCAAATAAAAAAAAGTTGTAAATTGCATTTTTCAAGTTTAAAGTAAGAAGAATCTTGAGCCATTATTTATAATATATATGAATTTTACGTTTGAATATTTGAAGGAAAAAAAGTTAGTTTAGGCCATTAATTTCTATCAATAGATGGTTGACCTGGGGTGGGGGGGGGGGGGGGTCAATTTACAAATAATAGTTGGCCATATTTGTTTAATTCATTATTTTAACTTCAAATTTTAAATTATATAATTTAAAGTTTGAAAATTCATGTTTTAGGAGATTTTCATTTGTTTTGAAGTTTTCAATCACAACATTTATTAAACTATTTTTTTTTTTTAATATTCAAATGAAATTTCAACTTTCACATATTTTTTAAAAAAATATTCAACTCAAAATATACAATTTTTCGCTCAATCAATTCATGGCCAAAATTCTGCCAAATGTTTTTTCAATAATAATGAAGTACCAAGCAATTAGTTTCTTACCTAACCTTTTATTTCATGGTACTGTGCAACTTTTATATTTTCTCCATTTCAAAATAAATGGTATATTAATTCTTTTTTACTTTATTTTAAAATAAAGAATGATTTATATAATTAAGGAAAATTATTTTTTAATAAAAATTATCCTTGTTTTAATATATTTTACACCATTAAAGAGTTACTTATATCTTCAAGACATTTAATTAAAGTAAAGACAGTAAAATACTACTTCTTTTACATAAATGAATTAATAGTTTTCTTTCAAAAAATGTTTTGATCATGAAATTTTTACTGTTGAACTTTAAAAAATGACATTTAATCATAAAATATCGAAAATCAATTCAACTTAATTAGAATTATAAAGAATTTGCTATTAAAAAAAAAAGACAGCCCTCTAAATTACTTATAAAAAGTGAAAAATAACTCTAATTTTATAGTTATATTAAAACACAACTTTAATTTTCAAATATCAGTTTCAACTATGAAAATATAATTTTCAAATTTAATACTCCCTCTGTCCACTTTTATTTGTCATGTTGCGCTTTTCGAAAGTCAATTTGACTAATTTTTAAAGTTAAATTAGATTACGTTAATTCAATTTTTTTTTAAAAAAATTAGATATTCAAAAACTATACGAAAAGTACTATAAGTTGCAATTTTTTGCATATCAATATGATGAAAATATACATCGTAAAATGTTGGTCAAAGTTCTTATTGTTTGACTCTAAAAAAGGAAACCATGATAATTAATTGTGGACGGAGAGAGTAATAAAAACATGACTAAACGTAATCAAATACACTTACTTTGAAACGAAGAAAGTAAGTAGGAATATTTACTTTACTATAATAGCCTACACAAGGCTACTACTACCTATCTATTTGTCTAGTCTCTTTACTATCATTAGCTTCCTCCTTCATCTTTCTCCATAACTTTTCTCACATCTGAAAAAAAAGAAGATGGATGAATTAATCGTTTCTTCATCATCATCATCATTTTTCATACCATCTTTACTTTCTCAAGGTACTCAAACTTCATCAAACCTTCAACAAAAGCTTCAAAATATTGTCAAGATTCATACAGATTCTTGGTCATATGCTATTTTCTGGCAAACTTCAAATGATGATGATGATGGTCACCTTTTTTTAGCTTGGGGTGATGGTCATTTCCATGGTACTAAATCCAAAACAGGGGTTCAAGCTAGTCAACAATCTACAGAAAGAAAAAATGTCATTAAAGGGATTCAAGCTTTAATTTGTGAAAATGGTGAAGAAAAAGTTGATGATGCTGGTGAAGTTACTGATGCTGAATGGTTTTATGTTATGTCTTTAGCTCAATCTTTTTCAATTGGTGATGGTGTACCTGGTAAAGCTTTTAGTACTGGTTCTATTATATGGTTAACTGGTGCTCAACAACTTCAATTTCATAGCTGTGAAAGAGCTAAAGAAGCTCATGTTCATGGAATTCAAACTTTTGTATGTATTCCAACTTCAAATGGGGTTCTTGAATTGGGTTCAAATCAACAAATTAAAGAAAATTGGATCTTCATTCAACAAGTGAAGTCCATTTTCTCTTCAATTCCTGATCTTGGTCTTGTGACTTGTTCAGAACAGAACACCACCATCAACAACAACAACAGTAAAAACCCAAAAACAGAGGAAACTGAAACTAATGATTCAGATTCCGATTGTCAAGTACTAGTGGAGAAACCAGTAGAGAAAAAAACCCCGAAGAAGAGAGGGAGAAAACCAGGGGCAACACGCGAAACACCGTTGAACCACGTTGAAGCAGAGAGACAGAGGAGGGAGAAGTTAAACCATAGATTCTACGCTTTGCGTTCTGTTGTTCCTCATGTTACCAAAATGGACAAAGCTTCATTGTTATCAGACGCAGTATCGTATATCAATGAATTAAAATCAAAAGTTACTGAATTGGAAGGTCAGCTCACTAGAAAATCCAAGAAACTGAAAATCGAGTGTACTGATAGTATTACTATAGACAACCATAGTACTACTACTACAACAACAAATTCAGTGGATCAAATTCGGCATAATTCATCGTCAGCAGCATCATTTGGTGTCCAGAACAATTTAAAAGTGGAAGTCGAAGTAAAGATTTTGGGCCCTGATGCCATGGTAAGGGTACAATCTGAAAATGTAAATTACCCATCAGCAAGATTGATGCGTGCTCTTCAAGATCTTGAACTTCATGTCCACCATGCCAGTATTTCGAGTGTCAACGATATTATGCTACAGGACATCGTTGTTAAAGTTCCTATAGAACTGAGTACTGAAGATCGATTAAAAAACGCTCTAATTAGAAGCATTGAGCAGCAGTAACAATAGTAGTAGAATGTTTCTTTCATCCTTAAATTTTTACGCATTAATCTTGTTTAACTGTATGTTCAAATTAAAATTTCTCCACTATTTTCGCCTTTGTAATAAATTATTTTTCCTTGTATAGAAAAAAATTGTCATGTAAAGAAGATGCATATTGTTGCATGCTTGTTTATGGACAGGCGGAATCAGAAATTTTAATTTATTTTTGTCACTTGATAGATCACATAACATAATTACAATCATAATTATTGAATTCTATCGAGCTAAAGATGACTCCGCCCCTGTCGCTAATTGCCAGTTGGAATTATTGTTATTAGGAAAATTAAAGGTTGATGTGTATTGCTGCTTGTTTGTCTTTAAATATCAACATATGTTTCCTCTTTTTCATGTTTATGTGGCTTCTATTTTATTTTATTTTACATTACCCCACCACTAAAAAGACAAAACTTTTTTTCCATTATTTGTGTTTTCTGTATTGTCCAAAAGTCTAAAAAACATGAAAAATATGTGATTAGATCATTCTATGGTATATTATTGTCAATGAAAACTCTTCTTTTATCCGACTTTAAAATCCCACTTGAGGGTTGCACAACTATACAATTTATATATCATACTCTTTCATAGCTGGTTAGAGCTATATATGTATTAATAATATATGATTTGGTTATGAAAATTTTTATATATATTTTTTTTTATTGACATGATTAAAAAAAATATTACTAGGGTAAGTTATGATAGATCACCAAAGTATATATAGGGAAAAATTGTGCAATTTCTGGTAATACTAAGGGCTGATTTATAGGTTTTCGAGGAGTCGAAAACTTAGTAATTTTTGTTCAAATTTTATAATTTTAAAAATATTTAGTAATAAACTCTATTATTTTTGAAGTCATTGTAAAAACTCGTAAAAATTTAAAATCATAAATTTGCTTCTAGATACTCTCTTTATTCTAAAATAAGTAGTATTTCTAGTTTAAACATACCTGGTTAAAGACCATTTATTCCTAAAATATAAAAATTATGTTTATCAACTTATTCATAACCAAAGAAAAGCAAATTAATGATTCTTAATTATATAAATAAGATTAATTTAAAAAGAATAAAATCAATACATTCTTAAAATCCCGAAACACTATTTATTTTAAAATAAAATGAAATGTTAAAATATCACATCTTTTGAAAGGAAGGGAGTAATAATACAAAGTTAGAACTCATAATTTTATTAGGATCTTCATTAGGAGATGCATGTATCTTATCTTATCCAAAAAGAGACACATGTATTGATTAAGGGACTTAATATATATCATTAATAGCACACAATCACTTTCATGATACATGATTTGTGTTTACTATATTTTTTCTCCTTGATTCATTTTTATTTGTTCATTTTAAATTTTATATGTATTTTAAAAAAATCAATATAAATATTTTATCATAATATTTATATTAAATATTAATTGTTGTACAGTCTTTAAATCTCGAAAAATAATTCAGAAAAAAGTAATTAATATTGACGATAAAATATTTTAAAAAAATATTGACGGTTCGTCAATAGCTCACACTTGAATCACTTTCATGATACATGATTTGTGTTTTGCTCTCCCCTCCATTACTTTTAATTTTCCGGATTCTTTAAGAAATGATAATTAGTAGGAGTATTTTATCATAATATTCATATTATAAATAACTTTAAATCTTGAGAAATAATTTGATGAATAAATAATTAATATTGAATATATATAATATATCAAAAAGGAAAAATTGTGCATTCTAGCAAACTATTATTTCAAAATAAATGTTATTGCTACAGTTTTATTTAATTCTAATTCGTAGCAAACACATTGCCATTCTCACCTCTCTCTCCTGAATCTCACTCGCCACTCTCAATTGTCTCCCTCGCCTCTCTTAGTTTGTTATGGAGCGCAAATAACATAACCGTAACTATAGAGTGCTAATATGATTTTTATGTTTACTATTTATAAAATTTACTGTATTAAAAATGACAAAGAAATATGTGGACAACCTTTTTTTGTTGATTTTATTTATATTTTTACCTATTCAATCAAATTGTCAAGGCAACACACACACATATATATCAACACTTGACTATGTCTAAACCACAAATATGAAAGGATAGTACTCCCTACCTAGAGATCACTTCAATTCTCTCTCTCCTTCCACTGTAACTAAGACACATTAGATTTTAACAACCACGCTACTTTTTCTTCATTATTTCTCCCCTTTGTTTAATTTTAGTTGGTTTTGATATTAAAAATAAACATTTTATTTTATTTTATTAGTCTATTTTAGTATATCATTCTTTAATACTATTTTTAGTATTAAATAACTACATCAAGTAGTACACTATTAATAATAAGTATTTTTTCCACTCACCGTGAGTCAGTGTCACGACTCAGAACGTTGTGATTGACACCCACACTAACCTTCCGGTGGGAGAACCATTACTACAACCCAAACTAACAACTTAACCAAATACTACGCATTTAAAGATACAGAAGCAGATTTAAATGACCAAAAGAAATACGGAGTTCCCATAAACTCCAAAAGTTTAAATAAACTAGCCAAACTAATGCGGAAGAACAACCCCTAGAACCTGAAAGTCATTGTACCAAAACTCTACTAATGACAAGTTTAAGAACAAGGGGTACAAACCCGAGACTAAACAAACACCTTAAACAAATAGTCTGAGTCCGAAAAGAGTGGACTTAAACAAGAAAGATCCATGACAGCCTGAAAGAACTGGCTCACCCTTGAATCCGGTCAAGCTCAATTGTCACCCAGCTGAGGTCTATCAATAGCCGCCTGAAGATGCCCTGTACCTAACAAAGAACAAGCAAGTGCAGTATTAGTACACTTCTGTACTGGTAGGATCACGTGGCTATCCCAATAAGCGAAACATATGCAAGTAACCACAACATTAGAAAATATGCATATACCAAACATATACAATATTGGTAATCTTTTTAGGATCAATGAAGCATTCCACGTTCTCAATAATACACATTGGTTATCATTTTAGAACAACAAACAGTCTTTCAACCTCAATCAACATTAGATATGAACGTAATCATCACAAGTAGATACACAATACAATTCAATGGTCCTCTCATGGAACCCATACCCAAACTGTTAGTGTACCGATACGTGGTATCCGATCCAAGTTAGTGTGTCGAATCGTGACACCCGTTCCAATGTTTATGCCGATACGTGGCAATCGATCTCAGTTAGTGTGTCGGATCGTGACACCCGTTTCAATGTTTATGCCGGTGCGTGACAACCGATCCCAGTTAGTGTATCAGAACGTAACACCCGATCTATTCAATATGCCACAATCACAATCACAATCACAATCTCATAATCATACAATCAAGTCATGATTCATGGCATTCAATTATTCAATTATCCACATTTACGATTGGTGTGATCAATAATGCAACATTCACATACATACATGCATTATAATGAAGCAAGTACAAACATATATCACACAACATGAAATCACAACCATCACCTACCTCAAACAAAGCTTGAATCCCCTAAGAAACTTAATTATTCCCTTTTCGGATTCTGTTCGCTTGCTCTTGGTCTGCAAACAATCAAAATAATACGAGGATCAATAAACAAGACCCAATTACCCAGATTCTAATCAATAATATCAACTCTAGATCAAACCCTTGATCTCCATACCCAGATTAGGGCTTTTTCCACCATAATTTCCAGATCAAAACCCTCCCCCATCGATAATTACCCACTAGTTTACATTTTACGGATCGAAAAACGGATTCGGAGAGTTAAAACCTTACCTTAGCCTTAAGAATGGTGAAAATCGGTCAAGAACTCGCCTGGGGTCGTCTCCTAGCTCTCAAAGTCAAAAAGTGCAGAATAAAATAATTTTGGGGTTTATTTCCAACTTTAAGTCGCGTCTGCCCCGCCATGGTGGCACTCACCCTGCTACAGTGGCCCCGCCCTGGCGGCAGAAATCCCACCTCAGCGGCTTGCACAAAAACAATGAGCAAAATTAATAATTCCAAGACCCCATTCAACAACACACCTTCAACCAACGACACTCAGAAACTACCTGTTCACGCTAAGATCAATTCTGGGAGTTTTAATCGCCTGAATTCAATTTCGTAAAGTCGTACGGGTTCCTTAACGTCTTAGCTATCCATTCATGAAATCAAATTTATTAATCAATATCTCATTTGTTACTAGATTTCCCTAGACCTCACTGACTCCGATTTCATCCAAATCTAGACTAGGCTAGGAAATCCAAAATTACTACTCAAAAGTTTTTTGGCCCTAATTCTTTCCTCATTGGATTTTCCATAACGACGGGAACAAGTCGTTACAATAGAGTAGTAAGAATAAAGCAAGAATAAAGTAGTATCTGAATCGTCGAATAACTGGGGATACTTGTCCCACATACTTTTTATGTCGAATCTGGGATGCTAGAAGCTTAGATTGGATACTTCTCACCTTACCCTGAACATCTTTCACCAAAACAACTCTCAAAGGTTTCACGTCTTCAACCTCAAACCAACCAATTGAACACCTACACATCCTATCATACAATGCCTCAATGAAGTCATCTCAATACTCGAGTGATAAATATTGTTGTATGTAAACTTAAATACAACAAAAGTGATTCCCAACAACCACCAAAGTTGATAGTACACATGCCTACAACATGTTATCAAGGACCTTGACCCAATCATCAGGACTAATCCTTTCTCACATAACCATGATAAAATCCTAAATCAAAACTCACCACAATTAGGGGTGAGCTTGAACCAACCAACACACAATCATAATACCCAACCAATCATAGTTCCTATCAACATCTCCATCTCACAACCCAATTTCCCATGAGCTTAAGTTATAAATATTTGATCTTTAAACATCAGATACTCATCGAGGGATATGTCCAAGAATACAACCCCTCTAACCACACTATCGAATGCTGGATTTAGCAATGAAAACTCTAAATTGTAAACTCAACTGTATAACACAATCCCCTTATCTATCAATATTAGCTTATATTTTGAAGATTTTTATAAATTCATGGATCTCTGTTTATCATTGATCGCATCTCCATCGATCTTACCATATATTTCGCTAAAAT